ACGAATACCCACCAAAAACAAAAACAGAAATTGCTGGAAAAGCTCAGCCGGTCTGACAGCATCTTTGGAGATGAGTGATCCTTCCTCTGAACTGATGGTAGCTCGCAAAATGTTGCTTTATCTGCAGAAGATGAGGTGGTGGGAGAAGGTAAGGATTAAATGATAGGTGGAGGTAGAGCCCAAAGTGAGAGAAGAACAGTTGGACAGGCAAAGAAATGGATAACGATCTGGCTGGTAGAGTGAATAGCTCCTAATGGGGGCTGTTAGTGGCTAACAATGTGTCATGTGTAATAGCAGACTATGTGATTAGAAGGCCTGGAGTGTGGGAATTGGGGTAAGGATATGGGAGAGCTCAAGCTGTAATCTTGTTGAACTCAATATCGAATCCAAAAGGCTGTAGAGTTCCCAAGAGGAAAATGAGGTGCTGTTCTTCCAGTTTGTGCTGAGCTTTGCTGTAGCACTGCAGCAAGCCTGAGACAGAGATGTTTGCCAGGGAACAGGGTGGTGTGTCAAAGTGGCAGGCAACTGGAAACTCAGGGACTTTTTTTGCAGACGGAACGTAGGTGTTCTGCGAAGCGATCACCCAGTCTATGTTTCCCCAATGTAGAGAATACCCGCCATATACGGACTTACATGCGATCAAGAACTCCCCATAAGAGACAGTGAACAAATGCACCATTATATTGTACCAAACATTTAAAGACAGTAGACAACAAGGTGCAGGGCTGGATGAACAGTGTTCATCCAGCCCTGCACCTTGTTGTCTCGGATTCTCCAGCATCTGCAGTTCCTACTATCTCTCATTTAAAGACAGTAGTCTGGGACCCAGAAATTATCTGGGCATCACCTTCCCAACAATTATTTGAAAATCAAGCCCTTGTTCTCCCCCAGCTACAGAGATCATCCTATTGCACTACTTGCATAATTGCCACATATTTTATGACATGATCATTTTGCACCAAAGAATAAGAATTAAAATCCCCATTCAGCTGTATCAACTCTGTAAAGCTAAATTCCATCTGTAGAACCTAAATAAACTATTCTGTTTCCTTATTACCCCAGTATGAACATTGTTTTCTTCCATTTCCTTCCTTGATAAAGCCCTTGCTTCGATATACCATGCCTATATTTAAAGTTATATTGATTTCTGTAAGTACTGCTGTAGTTTGCAGTACATTATAAAATGAAATCAAGATATCCCTTACAAATTCTTTCTGCTTTTTTTCTGCCTGGAGGATAATCTCTTACTTTATCTTTCTCCCCTCACATTCTATTTTTATGAATTATTTCTCGGCTAAAGTTGAGCATATCACCTGTTTCCAGGTTCCTATCAATGGCAGTCTTGGTTAACTGCATGAAGAAGTCTGCCCAATATTCTCTGCATTGCTGTGGGACACAGGGGTCACCTGTTCATTTTCTCTGTATGATGGACTGTTGTGGGATTGGAAATTCATTGCACGTGAGTTCGAGTGAATCTGCATTTTATCTCTTAAGTAGTTGAGCTTATCAGAGCTGAAACCAGCTGTATAAATTATCCCTTAAAAGTATCCTTCAAAAGAATGCAGGATGGCATTGAGAGTTTGATAAGCCCTTTTATCTTTTATTCTGTTTCTTTTTAAATTGTTATACTGTACTTCGAGAATGTTCTTAAATTGATACATCTGGTATTCTGTGTATATCCACCAGTCATGCACACATTGTAATAGCTTCCTCTGCTGAACAAGACTGCAATAAACTATGCTGAAATGCTGGGCTGACTTTTCTACATTTTGGCTATATCATTTCTATTGAATTTCATGTAGGATTTCTCTCCAGAAGATCTGACAATTTTTCTCATGCGATCATCCTGAACTCACCTTGTTAACGACCAACCACAACACTGTGGTGCCCCTCTTGTCCAACGCTAGCCCAATTCTTCAACTCGCTGTAGCTGGAAGTACTCACCACTGCCAGGATATTCTGGCATATTCCAGCATCCCTAGCATCTGCACCATCTTTGACCATGACCCACACACTCAATCAAGCGTTGGCTGTCTGCAGTTACCCTTCATTGGCAACATTATGGTGAAGCAGCCACAGAATAATTTCTGTCACAACAGATGAGTGGCATGGCTGACACTTCTCTCTCATATAATTCACATTCCTACACCAATGGCTGTTAAACACCAGGGGGCACAGCTTATCTGCCCTCAGACTCGTTCCTTCTTCTCCCTTCTAAGTCACTGCAACTCTTTCCACAATGCACATAATAGGCCATCATCTTATCATTGTTCAACGTGAGACTATCACATCAAGGGAAGAGTACAAATAGTTCAAAACATTCACCTTTATTAATTGACACCAAAAGTGAACGGACAACAAAGAACCAGAAGCTGCAGTTGCCTCTCAGAACAGAAACAAACAGTTTGCAAGTCAAGCACCAACAATTTTACAGTCAATGAATGATCATTGCATCCAGCTCTCATCTAATGGAACCGGTGTCAATTACACCCTGTTCAGCCTGTAGCACCCAACACTGCAGTTCTATCATGCAGATGGTGGTGTTTCTTCTGCTCAATGTCCCCATCCTCCTCCTCAGAAGGCAGCTCTCCCAGCTCAGCAGTGTCCATCACATCCTTTCTTTTCCTGCTCCATTTGCATAGATCACAGATTGCAAGGATTATATGGCACACCCTATATCAGGTATATTGCAAAGCCCCACCCAGACTAATCCAAGCAGTGGGACCTCATCTCCAGGAGACCTATCATCCGCTCCAGAATGGCCCTTGTCAGAGAACAGGCTGCATTGTATCTGTACTTGGCCTCAGTCAGGGGGTTGTGTAACAGAGTCATCAGCCATGGTTACAAAGGATAGCATTTGTCACCCAGTAACCATCCTTATAAGGCATCAGGCACTTTAAATGCAGCAAGAACATAAGAGTCCTCAAAAGATATAGGCACCATGACAACTCCCAGGTTACCTGGCACATAGTTCTAATAATTGTTACCGATGATCACAGATTCCTTGGACATTGATAGAATAGCACTCTTTCCTATTGATGAACTTGGCTTTGTATTCTAGCCATCTCAATATGATGTCTGTACTGTCTCTCGCACCCTGCACGCCGGGGCATCCAGCTATGGTACCGATTCCTACTGTCCAGGCTGCATCGCTGACCTCATTTAGGGGAAATTGAGTACGATCTGGCACAAATGGCATTTGTAACGGTCTTGATCCATTTGAGGGTGGACAACAGAGAGATATTATGCAGGTGAGAGATAGTAGGAACTGCAGATGCTGGAAAATCTGAGATAACAAAGTGTCGAGCTGGATGAACACAGCAGGCCAAGCAGCATCATTGGAGCAGGAAGGCTGACGTTTCGGGCCTAGACCCTTCATCAGAAATGGGGGAGGGTAAGGGGGTTCTGAAATAAATAGGGAGAGACGGGGAGGCGGATAGAAGATGGCTAGAGGATAAGATAGGTGGAGAGGAAACAGACAGGTCAAAGAGGCGGGGATGGAGCCAGTAAAGGTGAGTGTAGGTGGGGAGTTAGGGAGGGGATAGGTCAGTCCAGGAAGAACGGACAGGTCAAGGGGGCGGGATGAGGTTAGTAGGTAGGAAATGGAGGTGCAGCTTGAGGTGGGAGGAGGGGATAGGTGGGAGGAAGGACAGGTTAGGGAGGCGGGGACGAGCTGGGCTGGTTTTGGGATGCGGTAGGGGGAGGGGAGATTTTGAAGCTTGTGAAATCCACATTGATACCATTGGGCTGCAGGGTTCCCAAGCGGAATATGAGTTGCTGTTCCTGCAACCTTCGGGTGGCTTCGTTGTGGCACTGCAGGAGGCCCAGGATGGACATGTCGTCTGAGGAACGGGAGGGGGAGTTGAAATGGTTTGTGACTGGGAGGTGCAGTTGTTTATTGCGAACCGAGCGTAGGTGTTCTGCAAAGCGATGTAGAGGAGGCCACAACGGGTACAGCAGATGTAGTATACCACATTAGCAGATGTGCAGGTGAACATCTGCTTGATGTGGAAAGTCTTCTTGGGGCCTGGGATGGGGGCGAGGGAGGAGGTGTGGGGGCAGGTGTAGCACTTCATGCGACTGCAGGGAAAAGTGCCGGGTGTGGTGGGGCTGGAGGGGAGTGTGGAGCGGACAAGGGAGTCACGGAGAGAGTGGTCCCTCCGGAAAGCAGATAAGGGTGGGGAGGGAAAAATGTCTTTGGTGGTGGGGTCGGATTGCAGATGGCGGAAGTGTCGGAGGATGATGCGTTGGATCCGGAGGTTGATGGGGTGGTACGTGAGGACGAGGGGGATTCTTTTTTGGTTGTTATTGCGGGGACGGGGTGTGAGGGATGAATTGTGGGAAATGCGGGAGACACGGTCGAGGGCGTTCTCGATCATTGAGGGGGGGAAGTTGCGGTCCTTGAAAAACAAGGACATCTGAGATATACGGGAGTGGAGTGCCTCATCCTGGGAGCAGATGCGGCGGAGCCGAAGGAATTGGGAATAGGGGATGGCATTTTTGCAGGAAGGTGGGTGGGAGGAGGTGTATTCTAGGTAGCTGTAGGAGTTGGTGGGCTTGAAATGGATATCGGTTTTGAGGTGGTTGCCCGAGATGGAGACAGAGAGGTCCAGGAAGGTGAGAGAGGTGTTAGAGATGGTCCAGGTGAACTTAAGGTTGGAGTGGAAGGTGTTGGTGAAGTGGATGAACTGTTCAAGCTCCTCGTGGAAGAAGGAAGAAGGAGGAAGAGGTGGGGTTTAGGGCCAGTGTAGGTACGGAAGAGGGATTGTTCCACATAACCTACAAAGAAGCAGGCATAGCTTGGGCCCATGCGGGTACCCATGGCCACCCACTTTGTCCCTGGTGGCTAAAAGAGCATTGCAGCTATCCATTTGATGACCACAGGGATAGGATGGCCACCCAACTCCTTCAGGTCACAGCACCCGCTCCAGCACTTCCCACACTTCAGTGACAGTGTCCCAGAACATCCTCAGTCTGTGCTGGCATTATGCCTCACTCACCTGGAGGAAATGGCTTCAAGGAGAATAAACTCTGGCCCTCCTGAAACTCCTGCGCATCCTGACGGTAACTTCAGCTGCGACTTCGTCTTATGAAGCCTGCTTGGCACATGCTGCTGGTCGCCACTAGTTTGGAACTTGCTGGTGCATCTGTTGCTCCTTCATTTCTCTGTCATTGCATCAGTGACAATAACCTGTGCTGTGGCTTGACCCATTAGCCAAACTTGCAATGAGCGTATGGGGGAGAATAAGAAACAGAAGAGTTCGTTAATGATGTGAGCCGTCAACATTCACATCACTCACAATGACAGCTTTACATACTCGTCCACACAGTTGGTCACAGAGCACTCTGAAAAGAGAACCATGGAGTGCTTCTACATGGGACTTTGACATCAGACCTTTTTCTTGATAGGGTATCAGTTCAGTGCCCCTGTGAAGGCTATGAGATCTTGCATTAACGTTAAGTTTTGTGGCTCGCAGGTGCTTCTTTTAAGGGCTCTGGGATTGGTTCTTCTTCACAGAGATGTCTGTCTTCAATCTGCGACGACCAATGATATGGTCAAATTTGTTGCAGATCTTTTTTTGCACCTCACATGGTTGGACACTGCATCCAGGCAAGTGGGGAGTATTCCGTCATACTCCTGACTTGTGCCATGTCAATGATGGACTGGCTTTGGGGACACAGGAGGTGCATTACTCACTGCAGAATTCATAGCCTCTGACCTGCTGCATGCCAATCATGCTCAACCAATGCCTACTTACAAGGCTCTGAAAAGTATATTCACCATTAGAGATAGTAGGAACTGCAGATGCTGGAGAATCCGAGACAACAAGGTGCAGGGCTGGATGAACACAGCAGGCCAAGCAGCATCATAGGAGCAGAGAGGCTGACGTTTCGGGCCTAGACCCTTCTTTGTTTCTGCTACTAGAAATCATTTCTTAAATAATCCAGATTGTGCTAACAGTTACACCAGAATCCAATTTTAGATCATCACTTGGGCTCTCAGTGTGACGAATTTGCATGTGCTCAAAGCTGTATATGTAAGTACTCAGGGCCATGTTTCATTTAGGAAAAAGGAATTTGTACATACTCTTACACCATTTCTTGAAAAAAAAGGGGATCATGGGCATAGTCAATCCTGTCATATCTCCGTAGCAACCTTGAGTAATCAGAACCTACCTGTCTGATCTGAGAATTAAACTTGACAAGTAACTGTTCTTGCTGCCAATGATATTCCTTTATTGGAATCTTTTTCTTGTGAGCCAGTTCTGATGAGTTCATGACGTAATCTTCAACTTATTGTCTCCTTTTCAAATCCAAATTAAATAGCCAAATTTGGTTGTGGGAAAATGATGCACACCAGCCCCTGTAGTACCCACTGGTTGCAGAAGACCTGTAGTGTACCAGCAGACACCACACGCTCCATCACCAGGACCACTCAGGCACCCAGTCCCTTTTTGTATGTGCTTAAGTTACTTTATTTATAATGCCCTCCATCTGTTTATCTGTTTTAAGGGTAGGTTGTAATGCAGATATGAGGCCACAGTCAGAGCACTCATGATCTGATTGAAGATTGATGCAGGCTGAAGTGACCAAATGGTCTACTCATTCTCCTAAATCAGACATAAAGCTTCTATCAAAGATGATTTTTGACAGGTCCCATTGTTGGGTTATGTCTTACAGCAAGTGTGTAATCCACCTTTAAACGATATTCGCATGATGTCATAAACATGTGACCTAATAATACAGAGCTGACAGTCTCCGTCTTTCTGAGCTCTATTCCCTTGCACATGACAGTGGAATATGCTACAGTATATCCAAATTGCTCAGCATGAGCCCAGACGCACAAGTGCCTATGATAGTAACATACATATCATGGCAGATTCTCGGCCTGGCACGGCGATCTCTCAGTGGCCCAGCATGGCAGTCTTTCAGCCTGGCATGGTGGTCTTTCAGAGGTATGTGGCAGTCTCTCACCCCAGCATAGCCTCAGCATGGACTTCCAGTCTCAAGGCAATTCCTTGAAGTGCAGTTCCACCGTGGCTAAGCACTTAAGAAAGACTGTAATGTTTGAACTTTCAGCTTTATTTCTTTATTTACTACTTAAAACTAAGAAGGTCTGCAATGTGTAACTTTTAACCGAATTTCATATGTTTTACATTATACTATAATCACTGCAATGTCTAACTTTTAACTTTGTTCTTTCTTTCTACCTTGTTCTTAAGATTCTATACCTAGCTACTTGTGCCTAAGATGGCACCTTGTGTGGCGACATTATACACTTTTCACTGTACCCTTGTACTTTTGTACTTGAGTCCATGTGACAATAAAATGAAAATCAAATCAAATACATATGTAGGTACCAGGTGGTTTTATAAAAAGACATTGCATTCTTCAGTAATACATGACCCAAGGAAATTCAGCATGTCTAAAGATTCTTGCCAAATTTTAAAGATGCACCATAGAAAGCATTATGTCCAGATGCATCTCAGCTTGGCATGGCAACTGCTGTGCCCAGGAGTGTAAGAAACTAAACAGAGTTGTCAACACAGTCCAGTCCACAAGCCAACCTTCCGTCCATTGATTCCATCTAAACTTCTCCCTGTTTTGGGAAGGCAGCCAACATAATCAAAGAGGCCTCCCACCCCGATTATAATCTCTTCCAACTTCCTCCATTGAGCAGAAGATACAAAAAGCTTAGACACCCCTACCAACAAATTCTTCCCCACTGTTCTTAGACTTCTAAATGGACCTCTCAAATTTTAAATTTCATGTTGATCTCGCTCTTTGTGCACCTTCTCTGCAGCCGTAACATTGTATTCCTTGCTCAGTTCTAATACGCTAATACACAGTGTATGATATGATTTGCCTGTACAAAACAAAACTTTTCATTGTACTTCGGTACATGTAACAATAATAAATCAAATCACATCTTATATCTTATAGGAGTTAAAGTAAGTCTCACAGTAGGACAGTGGCAGATCATCAGTGTATCACACCACACCACAGCATATCATGTGTCATGTCATGTAGTAGCATGGCAGTAAATGCTGATAAAAGACTCCTCACTGAAGATCAGGCAACCCTGAATGGACAGCCAACCACAATAACTTTTCGTGAGTTCAGGCCTCCAAATTAAATTGGCAGGAATCAGACATAGATAACACAGAGTGGAGCTGGAGGAACACAGCAGGCCAGGCAGCATCAGAGGAACAGGAAAGTTGACGTTTCGAGTCGGGATCCTTCTTCAGAAATGGCCCATTTCAGACAAAGGGTCCCGACCTGAAACGTCAACTTTCCTACTCCCCTGATGCTGCCTGGCCTGCTGTGTTTCTTCAGCTCCAAACAGTGTTATCTCTGACTCCAGCAGCAGCATTTCTTATTATCTCTGAGGAATCAGACATAGATTATTTCTTCTCAAAATGCAAGAGCTATTCAGCTGTAAGGTCATATTGCTGTTACAAGAAACCAAAATGAAGTTTCAGCCTCCTTTCCTACATAAAACTTAATATACAGCATTTAAAAGACTTAAAATAAGTTTAAAAGTAAAACTGGCAGCGAAAAGGCTACCAATATTTTATGACTAACACTGATGGTCAGCCTAATTGTACAGCCCTCCTGTTGAAAAAGATTGTTTTAAGTACTGTAAATTGATTTTATCTGTCTGAAATGTCCTGAGTCACTCTTTCGCTTGTTTACTTTGGAGCTCATTACAAGCACAGCACTGGCTGACACGATCCTTAATCTTACTGTTTTATGTTTGACCGGTAAAGCATCTCTGTCTCCTCACCATCATTTCCATGCACCAGACAATGAAGGATTGGATGGCAACATTCCTGAGGCGAAGACAGAAATTCCAGAAGGGTGACGCTGAGGCTGCAGGTCTCCTTCCCAGTTTTCTATGATTTCCTCCAGCATACTGCCCTATTCTGCAGAAAATACAGCTTTATATCTTTAAGACCAGAAGATTCGAAAGCACTATATATACTGTTCAGTTGCAGAATAAAATATATAGAATTTGTTTTTAAAAAGTTAAAATAACCATAAACATGAGAAATTGTCTAAAATAATATCTCGCATTTTTATACAATTGTAGTAAAAAGTTATATTTTTACTATAAATTGAAATATAAAATGTATGAATTGTGATATGAAATTTGTCAATGAGTATAGCTTAGTTTGTGTCTGTTATTTTCTGGTTTTTTGGATTAACAGTGGGAAGTTGGAAAATTTTTGTCCTGATTGCTGATTACCATCATTTGAATTTCTTTAGAAGAGCTAAAACAAAGACATGTAGCTGCAGTTATAGAGAGATCTGAAACAAGCAGGGAAGGTGAAGAAACAGCTTCCGAAGAGCCTGGTGATAATGAATCAAGAAAATGTCATGGTGGTGAGTGGGTGGTAACATTTAAAAGAAGGGTAAATGTTTTGAAGTGGTGCATTTATGCAGTCCCCACGAGTGCAGGTGAATGGTTGGTTCAATGCAAGATCTCTTCCACAAATGTGACATCGTTTTTTTGTATTTGTTCTACTTAAACATTCTTTCAGTGAATATAAGATAGCAGACAAGTTTAAAAGTATGCCCGGTGGAGTATTTATAACAACTGGTAACACTTAATTTTGCCTTTAATGTGGGAAAACTTTCTTTACAGATTTTAAAGGACATAGTTCTTTGTTTATTTAGCAGTTTCAAAAAATGTGTTTTTTTGGCAAAACATCACACAATAATTAGGATGACGACTGTGATTTCCATTACTAAGGCAGCTTATAATATTACTTTATTGCTCCAAAACTGTGGTTTTGACCTTCAGTTAAGTGGTCAAAAGAAATTATGAGCACAGCCATATTAACCTTACAGGCGAACCAAATATATTCAGCCTCATATTACATGAAGTGAACAAATATTGGCCTTTCTGTGGGAGAGAAAGTACCTTACACACAATGGTGTTCAGTCTCCACTGCTTCCTGCTGGGACAGCTCAGGAATTGACAAGTATGGAATGTGACAAACAGTTTCAAAGGCATTGTACAGGGCCAGAGTCTGCTGAACTATGACTATGTGAATGGTGTATGCAATTATACATGAGCAAATTGATTAGCAAATTGTAGCAAGCAAGTGTTACCTCAAGAATTGCAAATCACCACAAGTCACTAGACGATTTGAACCACTTCGCTTTTAATTCACAAAAATAGCATCAATAAAATTGCTACAGAGATAGTAGGAACTGCCGATGCTGGAGAATCTGAGATAACAAGGTGTAGAGCTGGATGAACACACAGCAGGCCAAGCAGCATCAGAGGAGCAGGAAAGCTGACGTTTCGGGTCTAGACCCTTCTTCAGAAAA